GCTTGGACTCTCTGAAAATGACTGTCCTGGAAAAATTCGTTCTGAAAAAATATTATCTTCTGATGAGAATATCAATCCTTGGCAGGAATAATTTTTTCTCTCAGTGTAATGGTTAGGTGGGTGAGGTGTTGCTTCGGGGGACATCCAAGCTAAGCAGCGTTGAGCTGGGTTAGTACTTGGATGGGTGACCGTTTAGGAACACCTCGCTCGCACAAAAATAGACCTTTTCATTCTGAGAGTCACTAGATTTGCGGACACTTTTTTCCCATGTTAATTCCCCTAGGATTTGCGGACACTTTATCGAATTTACATATAAATCATGGTTTTTGAGCGCTCAAGTGTATATCATTGTAAAGTTCAATATTTATCAGAATTTTCCATGGTTTTTTCGGAGATTTTTTCGTTGAATGAACGAAATAAATATTTCCCCTAGATTTCCAGAATGAAAAGGTCTATTGCGGACGGTAGAGGTACGGTGTAGCGGCCTAGTGTCTCCATCTAGTCAGTGTGACAGATGGATATATTAGGGCACTGCACAATCGGCCGGCTGTGCGACTGGGGTTTTACATGGTTTCCCGTGCAGTCCTAGCTCGAATGGGGCACAGCTAAGAGTAAGACGGCCGATACCGCAGATAACAATGAGAGGAAAAAGAAAGGAGGGAAGGCAGGCTATACAGGAGGGGTTTCAAATCGAGAATTACTTCGATAAAACCAATGGAATAGAATAGTACATTAGAGTACAAGGGCACAAATTTCGTTTTCAACGAATGTGAAGTTTACAGGCTGAGCCGAAGGCGAGGTCTGTATTCACATTTGTTGAAAACGAAATTTATGCCCGAGTGNCTATTTTATGCCACATCGTGCAGAAGTCGAGTTTGAAGCACGCTGCGCGAAGCGCAGCGTGCGATAAACTCGACTTATTGCACGGCGTGCCATAAAGAAATAAAAAATAAAAAATAACTGAAGTTTACATTAATTCCTTCCTCCTTCCTGCTTCCTCCAAGGAATTAATGGAAACTTCAATTAATTCCTTCAATCCAATTGGAATCCAACTGGAATTAATGCAAAGTTCAGGTCGATTATTCCATGAAAATTAATAGAATTTTCTTGGCTGAAGGCCCTCGGACGATGGCCTATTGTAAGAAAATTTTTATTGTGTATTTTTCTTGCAATAAATTTCATAAAAAATTAAAATCTAAAAAACTAATATAAATTTGGATAAGTTGGCTTTTGATTGATGGAATATTTGCTGATTATTGACGTCTTGATTGAAAATTTATTTAAGTTCGGGGATTTTCGTCTTTTTGTCGCTGCAGAATTTGGAATTATATTCAGTTTTGAGTGAAGTTTGGAGTTGATTCATTATTTTTCCTCCCCTAAATCGAATTCAATGTCGCGGCCCTGAAAAGGGGTACTAATCTATCTATTACCCCTACGAAAAAATTTCATACAAGAACCTAGCGGATTCGCTAGAAAATTCTACTTCATTTCTATTAAACTTTCTATTAATTTTTGGCCAATTCTATTGAAAAATTTCGCAGTCTACCTGCGCATTTTTTCTCAATAGAAATGTTCAATGGAAAACATTCAGGAAAAATCGTTAGAACTCGGTTTTTCTATACATATTCCATTGAGATATAAATTTCCATGAAAATTCCTTAACTCAAATTTTCCAAGTTTCTTCGTTCAATTTTTAAAATAAAAATAAAAGAAAAATAGAACGGTAAAAATTTCGGAAATCAACGCCCAGGAATTCCTATAAAAAATGTCTCAATTCAAAAAATTCTGTACAAAGATGAAATTTTACTGATTTGTTTATAAAAAAAAAATTATTAGACATTTTCTTTTGAAAAACATGCAGTAAAGTTACAGAATTCTTCAATAGATTCGAAAAGTAATAAAATGTTCCAACGAATTCGCTAAGTTTTCGTATGAAATTGTTTCGTGTGTGGAAATTTAAATTTCTTCCTAATACTGTAGAAGAATGTAATTTAATGAATTTTTGTTCTGTTTGCTTGAATCTTGACATTATGACGCATTCAGCTGGAGAGAGGAGAGTTTCAGAAAGTGTAATAGAAGCTCGTCAAAAGGCATCGAGGAGCGCTGAGCATCCTACCAGCCGAACTAGCGGAAGATTGAGCAGCAGTAATGTTTTGAGCACATCCCAACCTCTGACAAGGCTTGCGAAATTGTTAAATCAACGTCCAAGTTATACACCGAGTGATGATATTACCCGTAGACTTTCATGGGAAAGGTAAACTTCACTTATGTTGCTACTCTGAGGTGCAAAATTTTCTAAATAACAACTTGGTAGATAGGTCTAATGGCTGTTGTGTAATTTCGAGAAAATTGGGTATTTTCTCTGGAACGAAATTCTAATATTGGAGACTTTTTTGTTTTGCCTTCTTGTGTCGTCAGTGTTATTGTCTCATCTTCAGGGAATCAGGTGGAAGTGAAAAAGTTTTCAACTCACTTTGGAGCATTTTCCGTCTCAAAGGTCTTGAAGAATGCAATCAATCTTTTTTAACGTCACATTGAGTTCAGTGTATCATCCTCTTTCAAGCTGTATTGCGTTTATTCGAATTCAGGTTTCACTGCGGAGTTTCAAGGACTCATTATTCATGTGATTTATGATGACTGCTCCACATCAGTAATCAGAGAGATTGTTTCTTTTTTATTACCGTCAGTGACCCGCTTATGGAACCATTACCGGTTATGGAATCAGCATTACATTTATCCGAAAATCCACGTGACCCGGTATTTACTGTGATGTATTTACTGTGATGAACGAAGTTCAATGGAAACCATGAGCTGTACACGGAGAGAAATTTTTGATAAAAATTATCCTACCATTCTATAAAAGTGTATCATGAGTCATCGTTTCCTCATTTCTATCCTGAAATTCAGTAAAAATTAATATATGATGATCAAATTTTATTCTACGTCAGTGAAATTTTATCCTGACGCATAATAAATTTTACCCTTCCAGTCCAATAATTTTTATGTAGATAACAACGAATATTCTAGAACGGTTGGTCAATTTAATCCTACCGGTACAGTAATTTTTACTCTACCGGCACAGTAATTTTTATTTTTATCAAGATAAAATTTCTCTAACGTAGAATAAAATTTGATCATCATATATTAATTTTGACTAAATTTCGGGATAGAAATGAGGAAACAATGACACATGATACACTTTTATAGAACGGTAGGATAATTTTTCTGAAAAATTTCTCTCCGTGTATAATTTCTCTGAAGCTAAAAATATCCACTCAGCAACACTTATAAGTTATTAAAAACAAGATGGTTCCGTAACTGACCCTCATTTCTTAAGGGTTCCGTGACTGGGTACTAGTAGAATTTTTTCGTTGCATCGTAATTTTTGCCGCGCGCTACAGAAATTTTTCTTCGATTTACCTCGAAAAGTTTTTGTATTTTGCAGCCAAATTTCCGGTGTTGGCACCTGATTTTTTCTGGATCCGTCAAACTGAACCCATTTTTTCGTGTTCTCCAATAATTTTTCTTGCATTTTTTCCCCGTACATTTTTTTTGCAAAATCATTAATGCAACTCAATTGCTCAATTAATGAATTATAATGTACTCAATGCGCTAATGTAGAATTATATGAAGTGAATGAGTTTAAAATTTAACCTTTAAAAAGCTCTCTCGTGCGGGTGAACACTTCAAACTTTTTACTGGTCTTTTTTTTCTCTTGCCCTTATTTTTTTCCAATACCTGTAATCTTCCAGCTCAAGGATTATCATTTCAAACGAGAATCCCATAAGGAGTCTTCTATAAAAGAAAATCTGACAATTCAATTTCAGCGGAGCTCTCGCGATCGATTTTTCAAAACTATCAGGAAAGTCAGTTCTCTATATTCCCCTATCAACCAAAAGAATCTAATTTTCATCGACCATGAGAAAAAACATTCTGCGGAGAGAGAATGAGCATCCTCGTACTATCGCTCTCATCAGAACTCGTAGTAGGGCTTACACATAATTCCATACTCCTCCCCGGAGTATGGAATTATGTGTATGCCTAGCTACTCCTGGCTTAAAATATCATAATCAAATCCTCCTAGTACCATTACCGCCGCCGAGCATTTCCAGTAAAATTCATTATATATTCATCGGCTTTTTCCCCGACTAGTGAGCCACAAAATACATTTTTAACTCCATTTGAAGGGTCAAAGATTTCCCACTATTCCAACGATGTATTTATCACTCATGACATTATGATTCCCTGATGAGATAATTTTACTCGCCCAAAAGTACTCATTAATTCAGTGTATTTGCATACCATTAATATGAAAGTGGATCAATCAATATTTCTGGACATATTCTTGACCGGCGCAGCACAGCTTAATTAAACTTGGTTTTCCCAATCAAGGTGAAAATCTTCAGCAAAACAAAATTAATTTCCACCATCTCTCGAACCAATTCCAATCGGGATTAACTTTGATTACACCGTTAAAAAGTTGGAGAGACTATTCAAAGCGGAACAATTGAAATCCTTTGTCTCATTCAACTTCCCACTATGTCTTCAACCTGGATATTTATCCCCAAAAACTTTATTTCCTCATTTCCTCAAATAGCTGGCCATCATTAATTCTTCAGCGATAACCTCTCCCGACAGCTTCACTGCATTCTGATCTCCCGTTCTTTTCAATAACAAATTCATCATTCGAATGATTTTTTTTTCATCTATGAATTTCATCGATTTCTTTTCACCTCTCGATGTGTGATAAATTCCCTCAGTCCTGAATACTATTACCTGGTTGCCATTATCAGAGAAGAAAATGACGTGAAAATTATGAAAATCCAATGCAGAAGGGGCGATGGTTGTGGAAATCACATCGAGGATTTTCCCTCTCCCCATTTCGCGGTACCAAGGAGCACTTCGATCGACAGTTTGGCTTGCGCCAACTGGAACTACTTCCCAACTGGCCCAATGTCAAGTGCACTCGGTGGAAATGGATTATCATGTGATATACGCAGAGACAGCGGATATGACCTCATGTACGAGCCATTTTCACCGCAACCGTATAGAAAAATTGCCAGTCCCTGTCCAAGCCCAACACCCAGCCAAACAACAACACCACTACTTCGCGTTCGTGGTGAACGCCAGAGTATCTCCAGCAATATTGGAAGACGAATCAAGGGCCATCGAGCGGTTGTTGGTGAGTAAAAAAAATTAACTCATATTGGAAATGGGGTATTTGAATAATTCAATTTGGCAAATAAGTGAAAAAACTTTATTTTATTTTATACGCTCGGAAGACACATCCGCTCTGTACCAATTCCTTAGAGGAACTAACTAAATGACAAAGGGATACAACACCCTGGACCCCTGCTGACCCACACTCGATAGGTCCCACTCATCCAACTTTATTTAGACTAAGAAAAAGAGCATAAACATCATGCCTCAAACTTCTCAATTTTCATCCGTAAAAATGTTCTTCATATCGAAAGTGAAAACACAGAAAGAGACGTACATATAGGATTAATTTTTGCTACGTATTATTTTCACTCAAAAAATCCAACAACTTATTAATTTAGTTGATGAGGGAAAACTTCTGGAACCAGAATGAGAAGAGAAAAAGTGATGAATATTCATTTCGTGCATCAGGAGGCAACTGACATAGTGAGAAAAAACAATTCAGCTAAATTACTTGTTAATTAGTATTTGCACTTTAAATAGCAATTCCCATAATTGATTAGCGATTTAAAAAGGGAATGATCAATCGCATAGGTAAATGTAGTGGTTCTGATGAGAGTGACATTCAGGTGTAATTTACTAACGGAGTTTGGACAGTTGCGATTGAATGATCATTTGAGAAATGCTACTCGTCAGCCCCCAACATTTGTGATTGGATTAATACAGGGGTAAGCTCGGGATGATGATACTGCGACATCAATGCTCGTCAAAAGCTAGATTATGAGGAGACTGGGGAACAATGTATTTTCTTTGTTTTGTCGGAAGCCTGTGATGAGAACGAATGAGCTTTCGTTAGTTCAACTTGATCATGAGTTATTGGAAGGGAGGATAAACTTATGAGCACTCGCCGAACACGGGGCGGGGGTCAATAACTGCATGCTACTTTCATTCAATACATTTTTATACTCACAGTGGTGAGAATACTCTGCTGAAGTTTTCCACGAAAGCGCCCCGCAAGGGGGGAAAAGTCTAGTCAAAATTACGTGACATTCCATGAGTGAACGTGAACCGAAATGCCATTCCAGGAATACCATTCAGAATCAAACAAAATGAGGGAGATGAACGATTGTTTTTCTCCTTTGCTTCAGGATTTTATCTCTTTATGAGGTAATTCTTACGTGATACTGTCTAAGTATTTACTGGCTAAATATTTACGGTTTATTTTTACTTCCCGATTTATATGGTAGTTAGTGTTAATGACCCTGAAAATCGAAACTTAAAATTACATATCTTATAGTCCGATTCAAATTTTCAACTTCCCGATACACTGTTAGAATAAAAATGAAATTTCATGGACAGTGGACTACTAATTTTCAGGACAGTGACACTGAATGCGATTTAGGGGAAAAAATTCATGAAATTTCAGGTTTCACTGAAAATTCAGTAAAATTCCAGAATTTTAAGCAGCATAAAGACGAGAATTCCTTAATTTATTCGAATTTCTAATCTAATATGCATATTCAGTGCCAAATTACATTGAATTTTCAGTGAAATCTGAAATTTTATGATTTTTTCCCTCCTAAATCGCATTCTGTGTCACTCTGCTGAAAATTCAAGAATATATTTACCAGAATTTTCTGGTTTTCTGAAACTGACAGTTTTCTTTGATTTTTCCACGAAATTGTGAATTTTCATTGACGAAATTCCTTGAAATTTCAGGGGTAATTAAATTCGATAAAAATTTCCGAAAAGTGTACCGAAAATTTCAGACACAAATTTTTAACAGTGTAGAGTTATTATAATTTTTCATGCAATCGAGACGTTTTCATGTAAAAGAGCAGATTAGATTTTGCACCATGTTGTCTCAGCGGCTTTCTAGATTTATCTACAAAACTAGTGAAAAAAGACCAAAGAAGTAGGAAATTGCTCTGGCATTGTATATAGTATAGTTATTTTTGCTAATAAATGAGCAATATGCTTCCGAACGGTTATTTTGCACATAATTTCCTTCTATAACGTATAATTCATTGTTTATTTCATTTTATTAAATTGAATAAGATTTCTTTTCAACTAATTTTGTCAGATTTTCAACTCAGTTGAACGTTATCATCATCATTATTCTTATTATATTATCCTCTCCTATACGACCGATTGTCTTGTTTACGGTTCTATCTCTCCCCTCAGCCCTTCGATAAAATGTTAATAGAAAAATTTTATTTACACATACTTGAATGCATTTGAAACATCACATTTGAAGAAACCATCAGAAAGCTCATTTTTAGGGAAATTCATGAAAAATTAGAAATTTTCAACAATCATCATAAAAATCAGCTGATAAATTGGGACATATGATTTTCGTCAGCCGTATTGCTTTTTGCAATGAGAATAATTGGAAACAATTAATTGGAAAAAGAAATATTGAATCTGAGAGGAAAAATGGCATAATAAAAGGGCATCAATACCCTGACGCAAGCGGCCGGGGTGGTGCTAGTGGAATATAATATATTCATGATGTAGCGTGGAAGGATAGTAATAAATGAGAATTTATTGGAGCTTCGTGAAGCGCAAACACTCTGAGGTTTAAGCCATTGAAAAATAATTTACTCCTCTCAAGTAAATATGGTCTACACATTAGAAAATTTTTCTCGCACCCTCGTAGGAGATGAGAAAAGGGTCGGCCGGGGAGGGCCCAGGGCTGGCCAGAATTGGGCCGCCCTCGGCCAATCATGGGCCCATTCTTCATCTCCCACCAAGGCCGCAATATTTATGCTTAATTCTGCAGGCAAACAAACATTTTCCCGCAACTGTGTGGTATCGCCGGGAAACTCTGTTAATTTACAAGGAAAAAGGAACTGCGATTTTCTAGAATAATGCACGCAGAGAAATTTTTATTACGCTCATCCAACGCATGTGCTTTTTATTACGCTCATCCAATACTGGAAGACAGGAAATTAATTCTGAAATATAATGATGATGATTATATGATAGCAGCCCTCTTGTTTAGCAACAAAATATTTCTTGATTAACTCCAATTTATTAAGAATATTTTGAAGATAAAAATATCCCTAATGAAGTGGGAGCCTACTCGTGCAAATGATCCACCTCTAGAATCAACTGTTTCGTTGTTGGATGCAGAGCGAGTATTTATGTCTGAAACTTTCCTATGATTAAATTAAATTTTTATTTTGATCATTTTCAACTCGTGATTTTTTCAGGTCAAACACAATTTGTTGGAGGACATGTTGTTTACTTTTTCAGTGTAATATACTTTTTCTGTCGTTCCGGCTGTAGGCAGGGAAAAAATAGCTATTTTCATCACAAGGCCGAAATAGTATATGAGACAGAATTTTTACGAGTGTGAAGTTGGTGACCCGAGGCGAAGCCGAGAACCGCCAATCACACGAGCTGAAAATTCCCGTCTCACATGTGTCGAACAATATTTTTTGACAGTGATATTACGTTCAGCGAGTGCAGGGAAAAAGGAAACTATGGAAAGTCTGAGATCGCAGGTATTTAGCCGGAGATTCCTATAAGCAGAGCGCTTTGCCAGATCAATCCCGTCGTTTTCCTTGCGGAGCGCAAGACAATATTTCGCTCTCTACACGGAGGGAAATTTTTGATGAAAATTACCGTACCGTTCTATAAAAGTGGATCATGAGTCATCGTTTCCTCATTTCTATCCCGAAATTTAGTAAAAATTAATATATGACGATGAAATTTTATTCTGTGTTAGAGAAATTTTATCCTGACGCATAATAAATTTTACCCTTCCAGTCCAATAGTTTTTATGTAGATAACAACGACAATTCTAGAACGATTGGTAAAGTTTACCCTACCGATACAGTAATTTCTACTCTACCGGCACGGTAATTTTTATTTTTATGAGGATAAAATTTCTCTAACGCAGAATAAAATTTCATCGTCATATATTAATTTTTACTGAATTTCAGAAAAACTATCACATTTACGCAAGGCATCATTCTACGCGGACGAAGAAACTAACAGAGGCAACACATGAATGGAGACTGGGATAGAAAAGAAAAATTTTCCTATTCCGTATGAAAATATGAAAAATAATGAAATGAATGTATTATTTCGTATTACACCAGAGAAGAAATGAAAATTATACTGAGAATCCTCTGTCTTTTCCCTCTTTAATGTGAATCATTCACTGATCATCATGTTTCAATTCACAAAACAATTGTGTTTTTTTATATACGCGGAAAATCGATGAAACGCCGGCGTTTTTCTGCCGAAGCGCCCTCCCACTAACATCCGTGTTCGTGTGCGTAAACCACGTTTGACGGACACGAAGTGATTTTGACATTTGTGACGTTGCGCCTACGCCGGGACGAAAAACACACTTCTAACCACGTGAAGTAAAATAAAGGACCCTTACCCACGTGCTTACCACCGCACGTGGGCACGACTCCTTTATTTATTTATTTTATATTTAAGGGAAGACTACTATGAGTTTTAAAAGTCGCGACCTATTGGAGTGAGATTTATCGTGAATTGAAGATCGATTATATATGTCTAAAAACGAATAATTACTGCAAAAAAATAATGGTTTATAGACATTATTGGCTTCCGGATGGATGCCGCGTTTGGTTTCAGCATTGCCCCGACGTTTCGCAAACATTGCAGTCTGCATCTTCAGGGTTGTGAGCTCCGATTCTCAGCTCCGATGTCTGGGGGTAGTCCTTTTATGCCTTCTCCTGTGATGGCGGGGGTAGGGGAAGGGAGGGGGGGAGGTCAGCCAATCATGTTTTAATTGATCAGCTGATCAATTAAAAAACCGGGAGAACGGTTTTCCAAATAGGGTTCACTCGATATCCTCTGTCCCTGTTGAGGTTGTTAGTATTTTTGTAGATCTCCAAGCCTTCTCGGTATTTCCTTTCGAAATATCCTTGAGACTTAGCCAACATTCTGGCTTGATCGTACTCGATTCTATGTCCAGTGTCCATCCAATGTTCAGCAAGTGCAGACTGTTGTAAGTGACCGTATTTGGAACATCGTTGATGTTCCTT